CAGCTTTCTATACGAGCCACCTAGCATCCTTCTCACGGCTCGCTTGTAGTTGTCAATTTTTTTTTTACTAATTCTGCAAGGACGGCGTTACACTACAAACATAAACACTCGTGTTAAAATCATCAATGGTGTGACTTCTACCACCGCCACCATCCCCAGTGCTCGTCCTCCAACACCACCGCCTCGTAAGATGTGGTGGCTGGGTAAACCAGAAGGACTTGCTAGGTAAACATTGGTGGTAAGGTAAACAGGGATGGTGGTGGCCGGATTAACGTGAGGGGGCCCGATGCGACCGGGCCACGGGGACGCTGGGCCCCGAAATCGTCGCAAGGTAAGGAGGGGGGTCGTAGGCATGTAAAAAGGGTCATGGCGGTGGTGGTGGAGTTTGTGGTCAGAGACCATGTGGTGGTGAGGTCGCGTGGAGGAGGGCGGTGCTTGCCCAACACTGATGCCCCGCCTAACATTTTTATACTACAGTATTTATTTATTTCTTGACCTTTAAATTCTGGTCTTCTATCTTCACCACATTACACTTATAGGAGTTGAACTTTGACATCCATTTGTCTGCCTAGTCCAGGAGTGCTGTTACCCTACAGCACTCTCTAGTCCTTATAGGTTTGTTACATTCTTCATTAGTTTTACATCAGAAAACATCGACATGCATGAACTCACTCCCTTGGGAAGGTTATTTACATATTTTTTTTTTTACAATATAACGCTCTTTAGACCTAGCTGATATGTCTACTACCTCCGTATGTCATATCCTTTCAATTCTACAGGATGGACAACCCAGGGAGTCTTCCTATTGGGGAGTGTTCATTTAGAGGATTAATGGTGCTGCCCAGTAAACTAGCTCTCCAGGGCTAAATTAAGCCTTGGAACTCAAAGCTCTAAGACAGTCCATGGTAGGATTACGGGCTACTAATGCCCGTGCCACCTCTTGGGTGGCTTAATCTTCATCATGGTAGGAACCCTGCCCGCTGACACCACCATGCACCACTCTGCTACCTAAATTGTTCGTGGCACCTGGTTCCCCGCTGTACATGGTAATATTTACTAAGCTGCCGCCGCCAAGACTGCAGCCTCGTCTCTGCTTCGGTACAACTCAGACGCTATAAACGTCTGGTGCTCAGTGATGGTAAAGATAGTGGAAAGAAATCGATTGTCAGCCATAGATAAAGAACAGACTAGAGAGGGTGGTAAGAAGGTAGTCGAGAGGAGACTGGTGGGTGGGATTGGGCGAGAGAGTAGAGGACACTAATTCCTCTGCTCTCCACTAACTCCATAAACAACGCCGCACGCAAGGGTAAGAATCAATTTCTCTCGCTCTCTTCATCCCTCTCGCCCTCCTTGTCCATTCCTCCTTTCCTCCCCTTCCCCTAGATTCTTTTATTAACATTACATCCTCTCGTCCTCCCTTGATCCCCATTTTTTTTCTACTTCCTCCACCCCCCCTCTTATTTCTCCTCCTTTCTTTCTCTTTCCTCTCGTCGATCTCTCCGCCTCCCTCCCTCTCTCGATCTCGCTGCCTCCCTCCCTCTCCTCTCTTTCCTCCCTTCCCACAATCTTTCCGCCTTCCACTTCCTTCATGTTTCCTCATATCCTCCTGGATCCCTTCCTATTTCTCCTTCAATAGCCTCGTCTTAAATATTATGATGGCAAAAGTAGGTAAAAGGTATCTAGCTACGGTAAAGAAATGCATTTAGTGTGCTATTAAATCTATTGGAAGAGCTCTGTGTCGTATTTGTTATAAGTTGTGGATGAAGATAGCTTCAATGACCCCATCTTTGAGATAGGGCGGTGTGTTTTGGTGAGCAAGGCACCGAGGCATTATCAAGCACATTGTCACGTCAACATGAGTGACTCGTGCATCTCGTGCATGCATTTCTACTAGCCCAGGTCTTACTGCCGCCACCCGTGTCACTACTGCTGTTATCTCCTCTATTGCCGCCGCCCGTGTCACTATTGCTGTTATCTCCTCTATTGCCGCCGCCCGTGTCACTATTGCTGTTATCTCCTCTATTGCCGCCGCCCGTGTCACTATTGCTGTTATCTCCTCCACTGCCGCCGCCCGTGTCATACTACTGTTATCATCCCCACTGCCGCTGTTGCCTCTACCAGCGCTGCAGGTGTCGTAGGTGCTGTTACTGTTGATGTTGCAATAACTTATCACACACCCTCACGACAGTCGAACGTTCACGTGGTGAGGGGACTGTGTGCTGCGATGCTACGGAGGATGGTTTAGTGCGTCTTGTGAAACTTCTCTTGGGTTAGTCTTGAGCTTCAGCCCTATTAACTGCAGGGAGGTTATGACCACAAGAGTTTACAAACCAACCAAAGTAAACATTATATCTATCTTTCTGTCTCCTCTCTCTTTATCTCTGTCTCCTCTCTCTCTCTTTATCCATGTTAGCACCTGGTTATATCCACTAATGGTGAGGTGGTAGATGACATGGAGTAAAGACATTACATGAGGTATTAATGGGATAGTAAATTAAGAGTGTGACATGTTGGCAGCTTATGTTCTTCTGGTTGCTTCCGTTCCTGTTGCAGGGTCATTCGGTCCAGCTTCTGCATTGGCTCGGGGCCTTGAAGTGGGTAGGGTATAACTGTATATTAGATGGTTATTGATTGCTGGTCTAGATTTTTTGATAAACAGCGCTTCATTGATCTCTAATCTCATATTGTCATTGTATCTATCAATTATTTCGGTGTTGCTCGTCAAAATATCCCCGGTGATCGTCTCGTTTTGTGTGTGTGTGTGTGTGGATTATATGTTCCTTGATGGAGCCCTGTTGTTTATGCATTGTTAAACGCCTAGAGAGAGAGACTGTTATCTTGCCTATATACTGAGTTCGTTGGGGCTGACAATCACCAAGTGGGCATGTGAAGACGTTGGTCTCTTTCAAGGCGTTTTTCTTGGTGTCGGGAGAATTCTTCATTAGTGGATTGCCGGTTTTCCGACTCTTATAATATATTGTTAGTTTTATCTTCTGGTTGACGTCAGTTGGGGTAACGTTCCTCTCAGTGATCTCTTTTAGGACTTAACTCCGCTTTGTAGGCCGTGGAAAAAAGTTTCTGTAGAATAATTGTGTTGGAAGTACGGGTATTGGGGTATTAGTTGTTCCGTCGCCTGTTGCACACCTCGCCACCCTCCTTTTTATGATGTATAACCCTTGGAGAAACCACTGTCGACCAAAATCTGCCTTATTCTACATAACTCCTCATCCACCTGCTTCCACCCAGGTGGATGAGGAGTTATATATATATATATATATATATATATATATATATATATATATATATATATATATATATATATATATATATATATATATATATATATATATATATATATATATATATATATATATATATATATATATATATATATATATATATATATATATATATATATATATATATATATATATATATATATATATATATATATATATATATATATATATATATATATATATATATATATATATATATATATATATATATATATATATATATATATATATATATATATATATATATATATATATATATATATATATATATATATATATATATATATATATATATATATATATATATATATATATATATATATATATATATATATATATATATATATATATATATATATATATATATATATATATATATATATATATATATATATATATATATATATATATATATATATATATATATATATATATATATATATATATATATATATATATATATATATATATATATATATATATATATATATATATATATATATATATATATATATATATATATATATATATATATATGCGGAAAATCCACAGAGAAATATGAAATGAGGTGAACGTTTCGGCTTGTTAAAGCCTTTGTCAACACCAGACTTTGTCAGTCTGGTGTTGACAAAGGCTTTAACAAGCCGAAACGTTCACCTCATTTCATATTTCTCTGTGGATTTTCCGCATATATATATATATATATATATATATATATATATATATATATATATATATATATATATATATATATATATATATATATACACATACATACTCCCACCAAGGGAGTATATATACATATACTTACTTGAAAATGACAAGGAGAAACAAGAAATGGTCCAAAGATATGCAATGAGACTTACTCTGGAGCTGAGGGGATTGAGTTATGAGGAAAAACTAAGAGAATTGGACATACCTTACCACACTGGAGAAAAAGAGAAATAGGGGGTACATGATAACAACACATTAGATTCTAAGGGAACAGAGGTCACGACCTCTCCGTAGGGTGAAGTCGCACCTCCACAGATCTCCAGTATCGGCTATTGATACTGGTAATGGCTCCAAAGGGCCACCACTTATGGGCTATTCATGCCCGTGCCACCTTTTGGGTGGCTTAAAATTGATAAAGTAGATAAAGCAGCATTGTTCAAAGCTAGGAACAGTAGAACGTGGGGTCATAGATGAAAACTGGAAGCGCAAGAAAGTCATAGAGACTTAATGAGATCTCCTGGGGGGTCAGCTTTTGTGTTCAGTATTTCCAGGAGAAAAAAGTACAGTATCCTGGGTAAATACATTTTGGTTTTGTCATGTTTTATTTTATATTCTGTGAGGTTTCCGTGTGATATCTTGAGAACATCTCATTGTATTGACTAGAAGGTTATATACAATATGATGAAGAATGTACTGTTTTGTAGTTCATTATTTCTAACTATTAGTGTTTTGTTTTACTATGACATCTTTATATTACATGTTATTCTTTGCCATTGCTAGTATAAACTAGTATTAATAATATAGTACTGTATTACTTTTTGATGCACACTTTAGTGCAGTGAAAGGCCACTTTAATGGAATGATTGATTCTTGAATCATTTTTGTTCTATACGACCTTTGCTAAATTTTGGCCACCATGTCTTTTTCATCAGGGTAAATAATAGGTCAAATAACATGTTCTAATCATGTGCTTTTTTCACTTTACAGAAGTCAGCAATTAGAGTGAAAGGTTTTATGGAGAGAGGACTTGCCGGAATACAATGGGGAAAGTCAGCAGTAGAAACTCTTTGGTGTCAACTAGACGCAGGCTAATAAAGGGTGAGTTACATGAATAATTGCTAGTCTCATTATGGAACACAATTTGTGCCATATTAAAGGAGCTACCATTCATATACAAGTTTTTTCTCACATTCTTTGGACATATTTTTCTGAACAAAATATTAATTTCATCGTGTCATATGACTTGAGTATCTACTAGGAGAAATTAACTGTAGACATTTCACTCCATCTTCAGTATTTCCCACACCCTAGCCCCTTAACCCAATTTTTCAAAGGTAGGGCTATTCCTCCCTAATGGTGTAATTGATCCAAGCCCATTGACATACTCATGCCTAAAACTCTTACTTTAACTCAATATTTTTCTCAGAGATATCTTTGGGAATCCATTCCAATAATTATAAATAAGGCTCATAACCACTAAGATAAATTTAGACCTCCACCGAATGAGGAAGAGTAGTGACAAAAACACTAGGCCATGTAATTATGAGTAATCACATAATATGAGCACCAGCATACTGCAGTGAAAATGAACTGTGGGCTGTCACCTCTATTTGTGACAGTGTCTGTTATTACCCGGAGTGGGTTCTGGTAATTCACAGTGGTTGGTGTCTGCTGTTTCAAATCTGATACAAATGTGATATGTATCAAATCAATTCAAATATATATATATTGTATATATATATATATATATATATATATATATATATATATATATATATATATATATATATATATATATATATATATATATATATATATATATATATACAGTATATATAACATCAAATATCTCGCAGGTTAGGTCCCAAATCTGCACAATAAAATAACCTTCTGGAGTGAAAGCTATGGTATGAAGAGCAGAATAGACCCAGTGAATCAGAGAACAATTTGTAAACATCAGAGGCCCAGAAATTTTAAACCTTCTAGCAAATGTAACATACCATATATAGCCAAAACAGAGATTTAAATTTTCAAAAAGGAATTGGACAAAATCCTGCAGGAAGTACTGGATCATCTGGTTTGTGATGGATATGTGGGCTGCTGCCAGCAAGTCTTACCAATCAAGTTATCACTAGAAAAGCCAGGCCCCTGGCTGGGCTGGGGAAGTTATAACTCATAACTCTTAAAACTGACTTCAGCTACAACACTGAATATCCCATAAAAAAATATCTGTACCACGATTCTTTATTCAAAAGTGCTTTATATCAACTTGTGGATACCTTTGTAGATAGTAATTGTAAAAGTAATTCATACCTGATTTGTGTTGAGATATACTAGAGTTAGAGGCTAGAGATAACTCTTTAATCATCCTATTGCAATTTACCCATCTCTTGTTTTTTCCAATAGCATCATCTGGGGTGGGTGTTAAAAAAAGTCGTGGTTCAGCTAAAGTCTCTCTACCACCTCCACCTCCACCCCAATCACTTGTTCTGGATGAAGACTCAGGCTTTGGCGGTGACCAGTCCCTGGATTCTGAATCATCATTGCTGTCACCCCCAGGAACATCAAGTGCGGGTGTTGCATCCCTTCCATCAGTTCTCCCATCATTGACGATGGTACCACAAGCGGTATGTATCTCATAATATTATTCTTACATTTACTGTGCAGTGTTGTTAATTTTTTTTTATTTACCATTATTCTACATATTGCAGGTTAAAGCAACGAGCCAAATTAGTCATCCTGTCGAGGAAAAATTCCCTGCAGTCAAATGAGTTTAATGTTTGTGCTTCTTACCATCATCACTGATATTGTAGTTGCAAAGTTCCAACTTATGACATGGACAGTAACATCTACAATTATTAATGTTTTTTTTAAATCTTGATAATATATAATAACAAAAATCAGCTTTTTATATTCATATGAAAGCGTTTTAATGTTCTTACTGCTCTATCATCAGATTTAAAGAGCTGTTTTTATTGGCCAAATGAACATTGCTTATAATGCGAATGTCAGTGATAGCATGTAAGCACGAGGTTCTCAGCACATTTATTTGCACAGCTTGCTCAGTTACATTGAGTTTTTGCAAGCCACAGGAAGATCGTGAAGAGAGCTTATTCAACTAGGGTAAGTATAGACCTGGGATGGATGGAGGCTCACTTGTCCCTGTGTTTCCTCACCACCACACATGTTGTGGTGGATGTCTGACCCTGGTGTCCCGTTTGGGTTGTGTCCTTACAGAAACTGTTGCTAGTCAGTTTGTTGCAAGGTGCTGGAGGCGTGCAAGGTACGAGGACCAGCCAGAAAACCTCAGGAAACATTGCGGTAGGGGCTTTTACCCCCACAACACAAGCGAGCGTCAGTAATGGCACCAACCAAACTGGGAACACCCATGGTGCAGTGATGTCCAGTGGTGCAGAAAAGGAGGGTCAGAGCTCTCAAAGTGTACGGCCCTTGCTGGCTGCTGCCTCCATCAGCCTCCAGGGTGCTCCTGGCACTGATGTTCTGTCTGAGCTGCCAGCAGCCAGTACCAGCTCTCCCTCCAACAACCCAGCTGAGCCTGTGGCTCAGGTAGGCCATAAGGTAGGCATCTTACACATGCAACCCACATCATGCCTCCACCTTCCTTGGAGCCCTCCTGGGGAGGTTCTCCAATGGGGGGACCTCCTGTAGGAAGGGATTCCACTAAAGCTCAGCATTATCAAGGGCTCCATCTCCCATGACTGGTATTCAAGCATTTGTTTTTCATTTGTATCAGTAATTGGAAACTGGCAGAGGGGTCATTGGGAGATCTGAGTCCCACCAGCGTTTTCTTTCCATCATTCACTGTTTTATCCGCAGGACTTTTTAAATGCAAATCCTCATATTTATTTTCTATAAACTAAAGGTTTTGGATTTTTAAAAGTAAAGTATAGAGTAATTCCCACATGCATTAGATCATCCTCATATCATCACAGTTTGCCATAGAATTGCATGCCTGCATTGCTCCAGGGATTCTATCTTACTCTTAACTAGATACTGTAGATTAATAAATGCTTTAGTCTATAAATATTCTGAAGATGGTGACTGTTGTTCAGTGATACAGTAATTAAATATTTCTTAGTGTTATTAACCTGTACCATACTGTAGTTATAACTAATAGTTAAAACTATTTTAATAATAGACCATCCAGTAAGATCTTATAAGTGCAGTATTCAGGATTTTCTTAAAAAAAAAACTTTGCAGCTCCCAGTAACTTAACTTATGTAAACAGTATACAATCTTGGTACAAAAAAAAAATGAGAATGCCTATATGCCAGATCTTATTCAATAACTATATATCCTGCATATTAAAAAGTAATTACAGATATCTAATAAATTGAAATTTCTTACAAGAGGTTTTTTAATGAGTCTAAATGAGCAATGATATAAAACAAAACTTTAAATTTGTATTAATATTTGAAAAATCATACAAGTAAACAAAAAGAGGATGTGGATGTCTAATGTATGATTGCATGTCGCCAGTTTATAAATGCACAAGATTTTTAAGCACAACAGCTCTTTGTGTATTAAGTTGGTTAAAGCCATATGTGATATTTGAAAAGTTAAGATTAATCTTGAATATAATTTGATATTTTCTGATAGCAGTCTTTCATATGAAAGTTCGTAAAAATCAGCCCTAAGAGTGTATATGTAAAATACCCTTTTGAGCAAGGAACCCAATTGCTGACTAAGACAAGATTCTACTGGTCTCATGGATGGGATTTTGACTAGTCAGAGCAGGTCAGCATTTTCAATTTCCAAGCAGGATTGTTTACAGAAAGGTCCTGCTAGGGTATACTGTACTGGTACAACAGTAGGGAGGGATCTATGAGGAGAAAGTGCAAAGCCATTATGACTATAGCACCTGGAAAAGTTCAGGATAAGGATTTGGGATGGGATGGGGGAGAATGGAATGTTGCCCAACAACTTATATGGTCAGATATTGAACTCCGACCTGCATGAAGTGAGACCGCTGTTTTACTGTGTAGCTTAAGTAGTTAGGCTTTAGTAGGGAGAGAACTTACCAGGAGTTGTGTAAAAGTAATTAAATGCAGTACTTATAGTGTATAGTACATGGATATTTAATTATTAGATTAAAATGACAGTCAAGTAACCCATAATGTGTGACACAACAGATTGTACAATAATTTGCACTGGTTGAACACATTTGTGATGAAATAAATAGATCTCTAAAATAGTGAATGCCAACAAGTTTTGTGTCATATTTTGCTGAGGGCACCAAAATCAACTTGAAAATTGCCTCTGTGAAAAATACAGAAGTTAAAATTGATAGTTTTCCCATGGTCAAGGATAAATTTAAATTCCTCTGGTATATAAACACTAAAATCTTAACCTCTGACATGTGGCTATGGATTTGCAGATGTATGAACGCACACACACGCAACACACACACACACACACACGCAACACACACACACACACGCAACACACACACACACACGCAACACACACACACACACACACACACACACACACACACACACACACACACACGCAACACACACACACACACACACACATCGGTTCTTGCACCGGTGATGTTCATTGTCTACATAAATGATCTACCAGATGGAATACAGAATTATATGAACATGTTTGCTGATGATGCTAAGATAATAGGAAGGATAAGAAACTGAGATGATTGTCATGCCCTTCAAGAAGACCTAGACAAAATAAGTATAGAGCACCACTTGGCAAATAGAATTTAATGTGAATAAATGCTATGTTATGGAATGTGGAATTGGAGAACATAGACCCCACACAACCTATAAATTTCGGTGAGAAATCTTTAAAGAATTCTGACAAAGAAAGGGATCTATGGGTGGTTCTAGATAGAAAACTGTCACCTGAGGACCACATTAAGAACATTGTGTGAGGAACCTATGCTACACTTTCTAACTTCAGAATTGCTTTTAAATACATGGATGGAGAAATACTAAAGAAATTGTTCATGACTTTTGTTAGACCGAAGCTGGAATATGCAGAGGTTGTATGGTGCCCATATCGTAAGAAGCATATCAACAAACTGGAAAAGGTACAAAGACATGCCACTAAGTGGCTCCCAGAACTGAAGGGCAAGAGCTATGAGGAGAGGTTAGAGGCATTAAATATGCAAAAACTAGAAGATAGAAGAAAAAAGAGGCAATATGATCACTACGTATAAAATAGTAACACGAATCGATAAAATTGATAGGGAAGAATTCCTGAGACCCGGAACTTCAAGAACAAGAGGTCATAGATTTAAAGTAACGAAACAAAGCTGCCGGAGAAATATAAGAAAATTCTCTTTTGTAAACAAGGTGGTAGATGGTTGGAACAAGTTAGGCGAGAAGGTGGTGGAGGTCAAAACCGTCGGTAATTTCAAAGCGCTATATGACAAAGAATGCTAGGAAGACAGGATACCATGAGCGTAGTTCTCATCCTGTAACTACACTTAGGTAATTATACACACACACACAAACCCTTATAGAATCATCACTTTGGATGTAAAATGCACAAAAAAGTGAAAGTACTGTAAACTGAATATCTACATTGTAGCTAGTTTCGTGCACTGAACAATGCACATGCGTGGTGGCCTAGCCCCATCTGTCAACACCAGACCCTATGTCAACTATTCACAGTGGCTTGATCCAGACGACTCTCAGTGTTGACCTTGGATGTCTAGACAATCATGTTTACACTGATATGAATGGATTGATGTATGTACCAAGAAGGACACAAGAAGTAAGACACTGTATAAGGTCTATTGGACCATATGAGGTAGCTCTTAGGGGATATAAATAGGAGCTGCCTCATAGCCCATTTATATCCCGTTTGTGTCATGAATTTAAATAGGAGCGGCCTCATATGGGCCAATAAGTCTTCTGGAGGATTTATTATGTTAAAATGATGATTGGATAACCTGGTATACTTCATTACAACATGCTTGATGATACTTGTTAAGCCAAGGAAGGCCTGGAAAGGCTTTGAGATTGTTTGAATGGACCTTCTGAAGGGTATTCCATGCTGTATGAGTTCTCTCTGTCTCCATAGTACTGTACCAGTATGATCTGAAGGGGTGTTTTAAAATTGTCATTGCTGCACTGGTGTAGAAAGTTTACCTACCTTGACTGTTCTTCATTCTATCCATGGAACAAGTGGGATCTTGCCTTAGGGAGCAACCTAGTGTTGTAGCTCGGAAGAATACTGATCATTCCTTGTTCTTTACAGGAATATATTCAATGTTTTTAGTATGCCAATTTTTATAAGGAAAAGTAAATACTGTAGTACTGTCGGTTCTTTATTTTCCCCATCATAAATTTGTCACAATCTCTTTGATATTCAATTTATATCTCCATTGCTGTTAGTAGTCTGAATAGTGTTTGCACACTACTGTTCTTTATTAATATACTTTTGCCAAAGTACATTTTCATTAAACCAGTAAATTTTGTAGTAAAGGTAAATTAACTGTTATATATTTGATTATTTATATAGTACATGAAGCGTTTAAGATAATGCTACAAAAATGTAGTTAGATCAAAGTATTGCATATTAATTATTTGTTTAGTTATAAAAGTAAATTTGAATATTTTATGTCACCACAACCCTATCTCAGACTGTCACACTAGGGCAGTATATCATTAGCACTGCACCACTGCTTTATGCATCCAGCTCTAAAGTGCATGCCATGAATTGTCATATAAAATCCCTTGAACATTTACTCTCTTAAGAAACTGAATCTAACTAGTCTTATTCCTTACTACTTGTATGTTTTTCACATTCACTCCCCATTTTCTCACAAACTTGCTCACTGTGTCTGTCTATCTCCTTTGTCTTCCTCTCCTCCTCCTTCATTAAAGTACTCTTTCTTAATCACTTTTTTCATCATACAATTGTTTAATATGACCAGCTGATCTCATTTAACTACTTAACCTTTAGATTTTATCCATGCCATTTTCATATCGAACTCGTAAGTGTCCTCCTTTCACCACAAATGCATCTGAAATTCTCCAGTTCTTAATTCTTCACTTATCATGTTCATGCTTCACTGCATCTGATGTCTGTGCACAAGGGGTAGGCACTACCTTATCCTGCAACCCACTAGTCATCTTTTCCCTTGGTAGGACTTTCATTCCACTGATAATTTTTCTTTCCTGTCTATTCTGCTCTACTCCCAATCTTTCCTGCACAAGTTTATTTTTTGTTAATTGGTTAACACATCAAGTGATCAGACAAACCTCCAGAATTTCCCATATTGCCTTTGTATCACTAGGATACTTTAGCATATTTCTTTCAGTGTACATAATCAGGCTTAGTTTTGCTCTTCCATCACTTGCATGATGAAGTGTGTACTTTCATATTACCTTATTCATGGTACAATGTGTACTTATGTATTAACTTATGCATGATACATTGGGTACTCATATTTTCCCTTATGCTCAATGTATTGGTAATACATAATTTTTTTTATTATTTTTTTATATATATCATTTAACTTGTAGGCATTTACTCCTGGCATGTCATGTGCATCGCATCATTTTGAGGATCCATTCCCTCGCCCA